CGGAGCCGCAAGTCTCCGCCACCCCCCACCCCGACCTACTATAAATTCAATAAACTATGTAGTTAATGATCGTTCGCAAATCGGTTTAATATATGTGATAATTCGGTTAAGACGCGTGCGTGCGTGCGTGGCCGGTGCGGGACGAGGAGAGCGCAATAGACTGAAACATAATTTAAGACTATATAAGTATAATTTATAATGCAATGCAGCGCCGGTCGCGGTGTGTTTGTGTGTGTATTGTATGTGCGTATGTGAGCGTGCTCAGTCATTTGTTTGTTAATATAATGACAGGTTGTCGAATTAAAATAAAACAAACTTGTAAAAATTTCTTATGACTTTGATTCCAATCCTTGAAATTATAACCTAACATAACCTACTGGACTATAAAAGTATTGCAATACAAATAGGTAGAGATCCTATATATGATAGCTTCAGCGAGACAATATTATAATAAAAGAGGTCAATGCATGCTAATCTAAGACCTAACGAATCCTTAACAAATTAAATAGAAGGCTCGTTATACATTTCTATAATTTTTATTCTGAATTCATTGATGGTACGAGATAAGATTTATTGTTACAATAAGTTAGTGACATGACATTATTCATAATATACCAACTATCAGTGATACCGAATTCAAAATTATATAAAATCTAAAATTTTCGACTCCATCAAAAATCCAAAGGCAAAGCAGAGAAGTGACGAGTGAGGATATCGTGAGGCGGAGGGCGCGCGGTCGTCGACACAGCAGCATCACTTCCGCGCCGCCGCCGCTGACCCCGCGCGTGACGTTGCCAGTTCCGTGTTCCGGCCGCTCAGCGCGCGGTCGCACGATCTTTTCCTGACTTCTCAATGCTACTATCAAATTTAAATAATAGAATATACAAATTACAAACATTTTTTTGCGGAAATCTTAAAATCGATTATATCTCAATTGGTATGTTCTTAAGTATTGAATACCAATTAAAGTGAAAAATGATCAACAGTCTGTGATCCAAAACATGAAATGAAAAATAATTACCTCTGAAATATAATAACTACATATAGTATATACAAACAGTCATGAAACTAGGCCTTATTTATAAAAAAAAAATTATGACAAGAAGATTTATTTCTGTAAAAGATATTTCGATATGACAAATGGTGAACCAATTTGAGAAAATCTAATAATAATACATTCCTTTATGAAGTTTTAATACTTAGCCAACCTACTAGTTAATAGACCGTTAAAATTTCTCATACGAACATTTCTGGTTCCTAGTTCTTCGCGATCTGCTTAAAAAAGTGCCTAAAACAAGTCATTATTTTTATGCCAGTTTTATCAAGAAGAATAAGGGAGAAGGATAGTAAAATTCTGTAAAAATCTTTCACAAACCATAAGTAACAGATAGAGTACACTAACTAACATTAGAGAAAGCAGTATAGACATTTTAAGACATAACAGTGAGGTACATATGTGTTGTTATCTTATTTCTTACAGTTTTCGAAAAGTAACTACATTTTCTCTTTCAAATACTTTTTATTCGTTTGTATGAGTTCGATAACTATTCCTCATCAAGAGGTACTACTCCATATCCCTGCAACTTACTATAGCCAGGTTTCATACCGTGTACTTAAGTTGCTTATCATTCTAAATACAGAAGGACTTGCAACATACTTTGCTTGTTCTCTACATTTAAGGATGGGCTGTGTACAAAACGAAATGCATATATGCGATATCAGATGGGTGCAGCTCTAGCTCGCGGGAGCAAGGGATCGCCGACGAGTGTATTGACCGGCGCGGCGCGGCGGCGCGGTGGCGCTGCACTCGCCGGCCCTGCACTTGACTCGTGCCGCTGTCGGTGCATCGCCCTGCGCTCCCGCCCGCACCCTTCCCACCCCGCGTGCACACCCCACACCCACGTACAACACCCTTCCTCCAGATCCTTGCAAATGCCATCTGCTCTCTCCTACATCAAAATGTCAGGGGTGAAACCCCCGTGTTTATTGCACGTGTTGTTTATTAAATTCCTCTATAGATTAATACCTAACTATTGCTAGTTTCTGAGTGGGCTTATTGAGCTTTCAATTTAAAAAAGGTACATTTTAAGCGTTTTGTTCAGAACTTCACCTCTGAGAGCTATATAACTACAAAGGTTTAAAAATATCTTTAATTACATATCTATCTTACTTCTTACTAATATTATAAATGTGAAAGTTTAGATGGATGGATGGATGGATGTTTGATAGAGTTTGTAATCTCAACGGCTGAACGGATTTCGATGACAGTTTGTATGGATGTAGAGGATAGTCTGGAAGAACACATAGGCTACTCACTTTTGTTTTTTTTTAATTCCACGCGGACGGAGTCGCGGGTGAAAGCTAGTATTCTATAACTAGAGGGTAACATACGAAAAACTATAACCAAGAAATTATATGGTACGTTTTATTCATATTTTTTGTAACTTGATGATATTTTTTGTACTATTGGTGTAACTTTTTCTCCGAACCTTTGAATATCATCTCAAGTTCATACATTACAAATTATTTTTACAGCACAGAGAAGATAAATATTAGTATCTACTGATACTATTTAGCACTCAGCCTTTTGCGACTTTGAATTATACGAGTAGTAATATTAGCTTTCGCCCGCGACCTATCCGCGTGGAATAAAAAACAAAACAAAAGTACGTAGCCTATGTGTTCTTCCAGACTATCGTCTACATCTATGCCACATCGAAATCTGTTTAGCAATTTAGGCTACAAACTTTATCATCCATCGATTCATAAAAACTTTCGCATTTATTAGTAAAATTAATTCATTCAAATTTCAATTAATAATTAATTTATTCGTTTACGGAATATCTTATGAGATATTTTTTTTAGTATTTATCACGATCTATCGTCATACGGAAAAGCAGTATAGGAGGGTACTGAGTAAGTATCAATACATCTATCACTTCATTTATAAAAAATGAAGTGTCTGTATGTCATAAAAAATCATATTTAAATAATAAGTAAGATAATTTAAGAAATAAATGTCCACAAAGCGAAAACTGGACAGACTGCTACTTTATTATAAAGTGACGTTTAGACAAATTTGTTTATTATGTCACTTCCGATAAGTAATTAGTGGTTATGTTATCTCTACATGTTTTCTATCGGGTGGAATGATGTTATGTAGGCATGGTGTAAATACACGAGACCTTCGGACGACAACGTCGATGTGCGGAAAGCCCCGAACTGTCCGCGACCCGCGACCTTGCCGGGCGAGGTCGTGCCCGCGCCCGCGCCCGCTCCCGCCGGCTGCTTCACGCGGAAACAGGACGAATTTAATAATACACTAATATCACTTTGACTTGTTTGACATTCAAACTCAATAAAACGAAAAAAAAATCTGCCTAACCTTGATCGCTGTGTCCTTCTATTGTTTCCACATACATATCACTTTGACTCACAAATTCTTTAGTTAGGTTATCTAATGAAATATTTGTAGAGACTTATTTGTTTTTTTACGAATATCGAATTGCAGCTAGGTGGTGAGGGTTTTGATAATACAATTTTATTTTATTATTGAATTCACGTTATTACTTGCGATATTAAATTTGCACAAGACGTAGGCGGAAAACGAGTGGGCTAGGGGGTGGCAGGGGAGACGCGTGGGCGCGGGGTGCGCGGTGGCCGGGGTGGCGCGGGATGGTGCGGAGCGAGGGGCGCGGGGCGCGGGGCGGCCGGCTCCAAGGTCGCAGAGTCACAGCCGGGCAAGGTCGGCGTGCCCGCGCGTGCCCGCTCCCGCCACCCCCGCCCCGCGCCACCCGCACTTCACACCCGATCACTCCCTAGATTTGCGTGGGACGTGACCTTTATCCACGCTCTGGAGCAATAATTGTATATACATAAATACTTAATGTTCTTAAGCTTGCATAACATTCACGCTAGAACTAGGAGATCGGTATTCGAATCATCATTGATTAGGAACACCATTAAATAGCGGTTGCAAAAGTGGTTCCAAATACATAATTTAGACCCCGACATGTGTTGTCAAAGTGAAAAACTTTTAGTCGCGCAGACCTTCTCCAGCTTAGAGTATTTTTATATGATTTAAAATTAGACAAGATAAAGTCATTGATAAATGTAAAATAGATTTTATGTGTCGCCCACCTTGTGCGTGTACGTAAAGGTATGTCTATAGGAAAGGTTGCGATGTGGTGTGGACACGAGTACGGAAGCTGTGGGAGGAAGCGATCGATAAGAGGACCTTTCAGGGAGCAATAAGGCGAACCCGGTACCGTCTACTTATGACCTTTTGACTTTTTATAGTGTATTTTTATTATAATTGAATAACGTGGATAATACAAGTTCTTCCACTTCCTATCTCTGTTAATTTACTTACTAGTAAATAATTTCGTGGTATTTGGGAAAAATCATTTATCTATACTTCCTTTCTATTTATTTAAGGTAAGGCAATAATTCTTTGAGCTTTCTAACTCATTGTAGATGTCTATTGATAGCGATTACTTCGCCATTTTTATGAAATTTTGGCAGCTCCTTTACTACCCTCTATTAAATTATTTCAATGAAAATCTTGTACAAGAAGCGATTAGAAGAAAAAGTATTTATATTTTTCCGCGTTACCCCTCATAATGGTAAGAGGTGAGGTGGCGGAGATCAACCCCTTTTGACCTTATCTGACCTTTCCACCCTTAATATAGCGCTTTATTAAAGTTAATAGCGTACCTTTAATTTGTTGAGGATGGCGTTCAGGTTTACGTTTACAGATGAACACTTTTAACAACTTTTACACTAACTTAAATCTTCGATACCTATTCACAATTAAAATTCTCAACTTTAAGACAATTGACACAACTCAGTTATGTAGATATGTAGCATTGCAAAAATGATAGAAACACAATACATATTGTTTTAATAAAAAAAGCAAGCAAAAACATTTACATGCCAAAGTATAATACTAACTATACTACTATAGGTAAATCTAAAAGAAACTAGTGTTACCCTAACTAAAGATGTAAAGATCTTAATGTTTAAACTAAGTACTATAATTGTTATAATTACGTATTACTTGTTATTGCTAAAACAGTGCCCTTGATGTCAGATATTTGGAGCACGAATTTAGGTCAGCCCAGGGAGGATCTCATGGACTAGACTACGAAATTGAGGACACCCAGATACATAAAACTTGTACGGGTTTGTTTAATACTTATGTCTTCTATGAAGACATATATTTTATTATCCAATAGGATTTTTGATACACACACTACTGCAATTCTGACTAAAATCTTTATTAAAAAATAACACATTCAAAGTCTCGCAAGGACCACTGTTATATAA